TTTTTTTTTTTTTTTGCCTCCAAGATGACAATCAAAAAACAATTATTTATTGTGCTAGAAATGCACATGACTCTAATGCAGGGGTGGGCAAACTTTTTGGCCCGAGGGCCACATCTGGGTATGGAAATTGTATGGCGGCCCATGAATGCTCACAAAATTGGGAGTTGGGGTGAGGGAGGGGGTGAGGGCTCCAGCTGGGGTGGTGGGCTCTGGAGTGGGGCCAAAAATGAGTTCAGGGTGTGGGAGGGGGCTCTGGGCTGGGGCAGGGTGTTGGGGTGCAGGGGGTGAGGGCTCTGGCTAGGGGTACGGGCTCTGTGTTAGGGCTGGAGATGAGGGGTTGGGGTGCAGGAAGGTGTTCTGGGCTGGGACCAAGGGGTTCGGAAGGTGGGAGGAGAATCAGGGCTGGGGCAGGGGGTTGGGGCATGGGAGGTGGTCAGGGGTGTAGGCTCCAGGTGGCGCTTACCTCAAGCGGCTCCCAGAAGCAGCGGCATGTCCCCCCTCCAGTTCCTACACAGAGGCGCAGCCACGCGGCTCGGCGCGCTGCCCCTGCAGCTCCTATTGGCCGTGCTTCCAATGGGAGCTGTGGGGACGGTGCTTGGCGTGCGGAGCCACTGGCTGCCCTTACACATAGGAGCTGGAGGGGGAACATGCCACTGCTTCCAGGAGCCATGGGGAGCCACGGCACGCACGGAGCAGGACAAGCCCCCAGCTGGAGCGCCGGAGCGGGGCAATCCCCGGATCCCGCTCACTGGTAGAAACTCGAGGGCCAGATTAAAATATCTGAAGGGACAGATGTGGCCCCCGGGCCGTAGTTTGCCCACCCCTGCTCTAATGCATTGCCAGGAAGGTTTGGATGTATTTAGTGCCTATACATTCTTGTAGAATTTCCCTTACTTTTAATTAATAAGTTGAATAATAAATAATATATGGGAGCATATTGTGCACAGCTGGAATAATGAAGTTGCATTTCTGCATATGTTTTTGATTCTGAATATCATTTTGGTAGTAGAGCATCACAACTGGGTATTTATAGCAAATTTATTAATATTTAGGCAGCTTCTCTGTGCTCTTCTTCAGCATTTCCTGAAGCCCTGTCAATTTATTTTCCACTAGAAGCAAGAGACTGATCAAAAGTAATAGAACATTTGTGCTGTTTAATATCTGAAAAGTGCAGTTACCCAATTAAAATGTTTGTGTACTAAGTACTGAAAGTCTTTTGCAATATGTGTCATGGACTTTAGAAAAGAAGCATCTCTTTATTAAATAAAAATAGCTGCTAAGATGAAGAAATGTACAATGAAAAAAAGTCAGTTTTCATTTCATTTCCAGGGAATCGTGTTTTATCTCAATGTACTTTGTTTTGGCTGTCTTTATGGGCCAAATCATGGTCTTGCAGCTCCCCTTGCTGTGGAGAAATTTAATGCTCTGTGAACTGGCATAAGGAGCTCTAGATGTATCTTCCACTCTGGGAGAGCCATTAAGCCCCGCCTCCTTGGGGTGCAGTCCCAGATTTTTAAGGATGATGGAGAGGCCATAAACATGCACGGAGCCTTCTAAATGCATGCAGGAGGGGCTGACCTCCTCAGCTGACTGACACGCAGCTGAATGGGAACTCAAAGTCCGCATGGAGCAATTGTACTGGCAGAAAACCCAAAATAGAGTTGTCAGAAGGAAGATGTTGCATCAAACATCTAATCTGGGGGAGGGAGAGTAGGGCACCATTCTAGACTCTTCTCTCCTAATACCCCAAGACTAGAGTAGGGGTCTTTAGTAGTAAGTGGACTCCGTTCCCTTTGTCGAGCTCCACTTCTCCCCATGATGCCTCCCCCCAAGATAGCATGACATCCTCAGAATCTATCAGGCTGGTGCAGTCATCATAGGCAGAAGGAATGGGCAAGTCAGCATCTCTATTCCTGCATATCCTAGCCAGCATTTAGCTGTATGTTATTTCATCATTACAGAAACCATTGTTCCAAAAGTATATTTAATGATATTTAAACACTTTTTAAACCCTTGCATAAAATTCCAGCTATTTTGACATCATAAATAGAGGATGAGTGGCTGACAGGGTTCTGTGCATACCCCTGTGTTTATTCTGTGTAGACAAAGGGCCTTCAACACTGAAGGAAAAATATATATGCCAGATATTTAGTGCAAACTTATTTTTGCAAGACAGAGGGGATTGACTGGAGAAAGCCTGGACACACGGAGAACCACGCTGCTATGCACCACTTAGTCTATGCAGGAGAGGAGCCTTGATCCCAACCATACACAGGGATTTTCAGATGTGAGACTCACGGTTTTGCAGCATCAGGATTCCCCTGCTCAAGATAACGGGTGGGCGGGGAACTTTGTGGCCCTCAGATCAAGGTCAGTCAATTCTATGACTTCATGTGGCAGTTGGTTGCCAACTATGATTAGACACAGAAACAGCATATTTCTGCATACCAGCCTTACAGTTAGTGTGGTGATAGACTCAAACATGTATGTATGAAACAATTTATAAAACTCCTCCTTGGTGGTGCATGGTTGTTGTTTTTTGTTTTCAATTTGGATACTTCAGATTCAAAATCAGCTACTTCATGTGAAACTGCAGCCTTACTTCCGAGTTTCTTGGTTTTCTACTTTGTTTTAACTCAAATGTTCTGGAAAAAAATTAGCAATCATGGAAAACGATGATATGTACTTGCAACTTTAATTCAATGTAGCCAAGATTTGTTGGGGCAGAATATATGTAATAACATTGTCGCGCCTCTGAAGAACGGATATATTAATTGTAAATAATTTTAGAACGATGTCTTTAGTTCATCCTTATAAATCAATACATTTCTATTAAAATTGTCTGTTTACCAATGTGTCATATCTGAGGAGAACACGGAAGGAAAAAGGAAGGAAGAAATGGTGTTCTTGTTGGATCAAATGGAGCATTCCATGCTGAAACCTCTAGTCTCAGCATCTCAGCAGGCTGCACCTCCATACTAAGGCTTAAGTCAGCTGCAAACTACTCCTTTTTAGTAAAAACTAGAGGTAGCTTATGGGGCTTCGGTCAAGTTGTGAGAGTAACCTTCAGATGGGCAGTCCTGATCTGTGCCATGATTTTGTTGGTTTTTTATAAATCCTATTTTTATCTCTAGGAATTGCTTACCTTTAAAAATATGGCAATTAAAAAAAACGTAGCAGCTTATGTATGTTGTACTGTGTTTATAGGTTCCAGAAGCCATAAGAAAGTGCCAGCGAGCTGGAATTACAGTCCGCATGGTCACTGGGGACAACATCAATACAGCTCGTGCCATCGCAATAAAGTGTGGAATTATTCATCCAGGAGAAGACTTTCTCTGCATAGAGGGAAAGGAGTTTAACAGGAGGATCCGAAATGAGAAGGGAGAGGTAATTCATGAATTGAATATAAAGTAACTTTCCCCAATGTTATGTTTCAGAAACTATAGTGAAGGATGGAGGAACACACTGTATTTCTCTTCTATTGTGATGTCCCTCACTTCAGTAGACAACGACCAGCCCAGCAGCCTGACCGGAGGGATGGTTCAACTTCCAACACTGCTCCTTTGTTATTTCAATTGCCTCTGATAAACTAGCATGTTACATTTAACTTCTCAGAGAGTTATCTAATCAGTGACACTGTCACATTAGTGCTAACCCAGTTCAGCTCTTTTCTGAACCATATCGGACTGTTTCAAAAAGTACAAATTCAGAAAAGTTCTTTAACCCTCCCCCCCAACAAACGAACCAAAAACCCAACAGCAGGGCTCTCAGAGCTCACTAGCAACTGGCAGCCATACAGAGTCAGCCTCTAAATGCTGCTTCTTAGCTGGAGCTCTGACTTCTCGCATCAAGTCTCACTTAAAATGTGGCTCCATTCTCAGATGAGACTACATAAGTGGTTACACCCAAGCAAACCTACTGAGACAACATGAGGGCAGAACATATAAGGTTTGCTTGTTGGACACTGAGGGCACAATCTGGCCTGCAGAACCTTTTCTCTTGGTGGTGATGTGTGAGATGAAGAACTCAGCTGGGTTTCCAGATCCCAGCTAGAGTTGGCAAGGCTAGCAAACAAACATCTTTCTACTTGTAGACTGAGCACACTCGATCTGGGAGCCTTGAGACCCTGCAGATACAGAACTCCACCTTGCTACTTTTAGAGTCACATTCTGGAGTGGAGCGATTCTGTAAGGCAATAAAAAGGCAACTTCTGTCCCTACCGTGAATCGTACCTACTTCAGCCAGCAATCGAGGCAATTCAGTAAGACAGTGTGGGGGATTCAGTGTCTCATGGCCCTACCTACCCTACCAGTAGTGCTGGCTGTTACCGTCATTTGGCCCATCATTTTGGAGAGCGGTGGCTCCAGATTACCAGTATAGGGGCTGATTCTCCTTTCATACCAGTTTTCAGTGTGAAAAGTGAAAACATTTCTAGGCAGCAAAACAAAGATCCAGATTTGCTTACAACAGGCTGGTGATTGTATTATTATTTTCAGATTGAGCAAGAACGTATTGACAAGATCTGGCCAAAACTACGAGTACTTGCTCGCTCATCTCCCACAGACAAACACACTTTGGTGAAAGGTGAGTGCAAATAATCTGTATGTGTGTGATTATTTATAATAGCCATGGTTGTCTAATGGTGTCACCTAATGTACTTGTTTTTGATATTACAATCCAGACACACAGCAATGTACTGTTGGTAGGGCAGAGTGGAGGGAGGAAGAGGAGGAGCAGGAGCTAGCTGTGTTATTTCTCATGTCACAATTGTTTCACTCATCAGAGAATTAGGCCAGGTCTGTGCTAGAAACTTTTGCTAGTAGATCAATTGTTGGTCAGGGATGTGATTGTTTAACAACATTTCTCTACTAGCAAAAGCCCTAATATTGATGCAGTTATGTAGATATAATAAAATGATTTTTGTGGCCCTAAAGGGGTAGCCGTGTTAGTCTGTATCCACAAAAACTGAATTGGCCTTCAACATTGGTTCTCCATTTGTAAGGTAACTCCCTTCTCTTCATGTGCCAATATATATGCATGTATCTGTAATTTTCACTCCATGCATCTGAAGAAGTGGGTTTTTTATCCACAAAAGCCTATGCCCAAATAAATCTGTTAGTCTTTAAGGTGCCACTGGACTCCTCGTTGTTTTTGTGGAGATAGCTTATTTTGTTTGAGAAAGCGGTATCAGTAAAATGCACTCTTTGGCTTGTATAAACTGTGTCTACATTAGGAGGGTTTACCACTATACCTATACCAGCAAGCCCTTTCCAGTGTTGACAAGGCCTTAGTGATAGGGTAGAAACAGAGGGAAATATGGGGGAGGTGAGGAGAAACCTATGAGAGAGGAGAGAAGGGAAGGGAGGGGAGAGGAAACTCAACAAAAATGGAGAGTTTTTTATTTGTCTTCTTTTGTAATACAGGCGTGTTGTCTAATGATTGGAGCACTGCGCTATGAGGTAGTGTTCTGTTTCCAGCTTTGCCACTGATGACTTCTGTGACCTGGGGGAAGTCACTTAAACTTCCCTTTACATCATCAATAAGATGAATCAAATAATACAGTACCTTAAGGATAATCATTCTATCAAATGCTGGGTAGGCAATTTAGCGTTGATGAACAGGACAAGGGAATTTACTGAAAGGCCACCTGTGCAAGTTTTGACATTTCTTTCTGTGGCTGAGTTTGCAGGTTGACTGCTGAATTCGTAGGAAAAGCACTTGCTTTCTAATGTGGTTCTCAGCAAAATTTCAACATGTATTTAACACATGTAGGTTAAAGTGGTTTCATTTTAAACCAGCTTTTGTTTACTTCATACAGGTGTTTTGAATATGAAAACAGATACAATGCATCCTCCATATTTCCTGTGAATTAGTGTTCCTATGAAGTGATCGCCCATGCCTGGGCATACCCATACTCTTTTACTGCCTGTCTCCTTACCCCTCCTCTTCTCTAGAGTGGCAGACATGGTTTCCCAGGTAGTCACGTCTGTTGTCTTTGTAGTCTAACTGGAAATAACAAAGGAAGTTTCTCTCGCAGGAGTGGTGGAAATACAAATGTGGATTCATTAAAATGTGATTCATTGACTTCTTGTTAGTGCTTGCTTGTCAATATTTTCATTGTGGCTTTTCAGTTTGATTAGAATGTGGCACTGACTGGGACTGGAAGAGCATGTATGCAAGTAAGAGGTACTTAATAAGAAGTAGGAAGAACTAACCGTTGTGAATGAGAGAGGAGCTGTAGATTTTTGATATTTGTATGCAGCTGTCCATAAAGTAAACAAAAACGAGTTGATTAAAAATAACCCACAATTTAAAATACATATATTCAAACTTACCTAAAACCAGCAATACAAGGGTAAGAGCTCTTCTTGCTGAGCTCATTAGGAGAGTGGTTTTTAAACTTTTTAAGCTGAGCCCCCTCTTTAAGTAACAATTTTTGGTTGTGCCCCCCCCCAGACAAAAATACACATAAAGAAGTATGCTTGATAGCCTGCTCATAAATCTAACAGAGACCTTAACACAATTTGAATTAAATTACCTATACCTTTAAGTTTCAAATACACCGATACTTACCAATGGCACAGCCCAGGCTTCCTCAGCAGTGGGCTGCTTCCTTCTACCTTGCATCCAGGCTGCACTGCTAGGGCAGGGCCAATACCTGCCCCTCCCCCCTCAGATTTCCAGGGTGGGGGAAGGCACGTTTGACGGTCTCTGGGGGCAGAGCCAGCACCAGAGGTGGCTTGCTGAGGTGAGTGAGGGTGTGGAGATGGTGCTCCCTCGCCTGGGCCCCACTATGTGGCTGACACAAGCCACCCGGTGTTGCTGCTCGCCCTCCCCCCCGAACTTTCCTCCATGACCCCCAAGAGGGGAGGGGTGCCCCACAGTTTGATAACCTGTGCATTAGGAAGAGAGTCTTTTCATTATACTGATTCCATTCACATGACTAAGTTCTGCCACATTTGCTGTTACATGCAAGGTTACATGTTTTAAAAAGCAGATTCCATTTTGGCATAAAACTGATGTAATTCCCTGATCCCCACTGGCTGTCTGCAGGTTCCAGGTGTATATTTAGGAGTTGGTTTTGACCTATAAAGTGCACTCCCCACCCCACTGCCACAGCTGCAGTCAGCGGAGGCACTCAAGATGGAGTCTCTTTCATGGAAAAGAGAGGTGCTGTTTGCAGGGTGTTGTCCATGGAGGCCCCTCCACTGTGGAGCCAGTGCCTTCCTTGGTCTGAAATCTGAATCTGTTGGTCTTGAGGGCATACTCCAAGGCCTATGTCTACAATCAGGCTGTTGGGATGAATGGCTGTGATACAGGCTGGTATATATGCTATGCGGCATTTGTGGTTGCTCTGATTTAATCTTTGTTAAAGTATTTTCAGATTCAGGGTGAGAAATAGCTTCTGACTCCGTCCTTTTATCCTGTATATTGAACTGATGACACAGGAACTTCGAGTAGAATTTTGAAAAGCATCTAAATGACTTTGGGGAGCATACATCCCATTGTAAATGAACTAGGTCACTTAAGTGCTTTTGAAAACGATGCTCACCCTCCCTCCAGCCTCAGTATGTTGGGTAAAGGAGCCAGAATGTGATGTAAATGATCTCTTAAAGCCCTGGCTCTGGCTAGAAGAGAATTACCCTGACACAGGAACTGAAGTTGATAGCCATAGACTGTCTTCTGAAGACCCTTCCCTCATCCCCTTCTAACCCAGGCATAGGGAATGTGTTGGGGGTGGCAATGGAGATATCCCATCTCCTAGAACTGGAAGGGACCTTGAAAGGTCATTGAGTCCAGCCCGCTGCCTTCACTATCAGGACCAAGTAGTGATTTTGCCCCAGATCCCTAAATGGCCCCCTCAAGGATTGAACTCACAACCCTGGGTTTAGCAGGCCAATGCTCCAACCACTGAGCTATTCCTCCCCTTGCAGCATGATGTGTACTCTGGGCTTCACTGCTGCTTCTCAGAAGATGGATACAAGCAGCTGTAGCTTAGCTTTTCAGGACTAAATTATGCCAGGTGCTGTTTAGGCCCCCAGAACAGCCCAACATTGCAAGGGTGCAAAGGTGGCTTGAAGCCCTCACAAGTTCTGTGCTGCACTTCTAAGATGCAAGACAGAAGCTTACCCTAGAGCCTAATATAGGTGCATGGCTCTAAATTCTAATGGAAGTGTGTATTGGGAGTGTCATAAAATCAAGTAAATAAATTGTTGGAGACTGCCTGTGTGAGTGAATCATGCAGGATTTTCCCCTAAGAGGAAAATCAACAGAGTTGAAGAGTAGTAAGCAACAAAATATTAACAAGATTTACTGTATGTGCAGTATGAGATTTTGAAAGAGATATTTCATTGCAGAATACCTTATATAACTGGTATTGTTGGTAACATTTGAGAGATGATGATGAGGTCAAATGAAAAAACAATTATATTATCCAATGCAGTTTAAGAGCAGCTCTACATTGCTGTGAAATGTTTTTGGGTTATAACACTTTAAGGGCCCTTAAAAGTTACAGGAAATTATTTAAATGTTCACTAGTTCTGGTCCTCTTGCTCTGAAGTACATGTTTCTCAGTCACTTGGGGGATAGAGCGAGTTTTCTCTTTGATGCATTAGGTTCGCTCTAGGGCTAAAAACACACATCACAAAACAAACTTTCATATTTAATTTTTAATGACATACAGCTGCCGGAGGGAGGGAGCACTTTTTTATTTCACTGCCACAATCCTGCCCATCAAAAATCATTTTTATGTAGCATAAGACACTTTTATTATACATTTTTGTTCTTTTGTAATGTTGAGACTCAGAAAGGCATAATTCAGCATTTCAAGTTGGGAAGACACTGCTTTGTTATATATGTAAGGCTGCTCCAAGGCACTAGAGTTTTCAGCTTCCAAAATAGGTTTGAGAAGTTTTTTTCTTGGACATGAAGATAAAATTTATTTCAATCTAGAAATGAATCCTGTGTGTGTGTGTGTGTGTGTGTGTGTATTTTATAATATGTATTCTTTATATAACATGTAGCAGCTCCTCGGTGCCTTGAGCTTACCCTTTAAGGCCTCAGTCTTGTAATTGTATGTTCCCAAATGGGTGTCTGCTCCAGCCCTATTGAAATCAGAGGGTTCTGCATGGGTTCAAGTGTCTGCATCTGCTGATCTGATTGCAGGATAAGGCTCTGCAGTCATATTCTTTTCTGTTTCATTCTAATAGTATGTATTTTTTATATTGGAGCACCAGCCACTTAAATATCACAGTTGTCTGAAAATGTACCCACTGTTGTTACAAGTTACGCCCCCCCCCCCGCCCCAAGGGCCTAAGTCTGCACACACTTAAACACTTAACTTTTTGCATGTGAATAGTCCATGGGACAACTCACATGAGTATGTTTGCAGGATCCAGGTCCTAAAACAAAACTGAAAGATACTAGAGGAAAAATTATTTTCTATATTTTTGTCAGTATACTTCTAGATTTGAAAGTACTCTTGTAAAAGTCAGTTTCACTGTTCTCTCTATAGTCAGTCAGTTTCCCCTATTACATCTGAGAGTCATTCACATAGCAGCAGAGTAAAAAAAAATGTGATGTGA